TTATTCAGGTTAAAGTGTGAAGAAGCAGCGGGTCTGTGGGGCAGCTGAGTGAAGTGGAGCCTGAGGAGGAAGCACCGGTTAGCCCCGGTTTCACTACAGGCAGATTCACTCGCTACAGGGGCGAGGAAATAAAACCTGAACAGCCAATCAGAGTGATCTCTCTCACCAACAAGCTCCGCCGCCGATTCAACATGCTCAATCAGCCGAAAAGCCGCCGCTGCCAAAGTGCCGACGGTGCGGGACACACTGCAAAAACTAGGCCGACAGACACTCATCGACGGCCCGACTTTGGTCGACGGCCAACTGTCAGCTTGGTGTGTCAGGACCTTAACTCTCAGAAGAATCAAGACTTTAATAAAACCATCTTTGAACAGCTCCAAACACAGACGGCAGAGAACATGTTCAATACTTTAAATATTATTTATTCATATACAGGAGTGAAGAAATGACAGAGCGCTGAAATAAAGTGGGTTATCTGTTTTTAATGATCAAACACAAATTCAAACATCTGTTGGATCCAGTTTTTATAACTGCTGTTAAACATCAGTGTGACTGGAGGAGGACGTGTTGGACATTTGATCTTAATTAATCTATAAAATAATAAATGGTTGACAGTTAAAGGGGATCTATTGTGCTTTGTCTTATTTTATGTTTATATACATATATATATATACATGTATGTATGTATGTATGTATGTATGTAGAGTAGAATAATGACCACAGATGTTTAAAGACACCTGGATACAGCGCTGGAGGCAGAGCCATGTTCATTCCTGTAAAAGACACGTGAAGCCAAAATCGCTCCGCGTCATCACCCTGACGATCAGCGCCTCTTCTGCATCACTGGTCTCAGACGCACAGAGACTCACGACTGGGTGGCCAAGTGGTTAACTTCCTGTTTAGCGCTCTGCTGACTTCAATGGGAACAAAGTGATTTAATCTTGCAGCTCATCTGGACTCTCCTGATGTCACCAAACGAACGGTGAAACAAATCATCTCTCGGGGGTTGTGACATTAAAGAATTAAAAACAGATCCACTGATTAACAGTCGTCTCTTTCCTGATGTGAGTCAATGGGAAATTTATTTTGCGGGTCCCATCGCATCATGTGACGGAGCTCTGACACTGCAGTACCACTGTTTGGCCTGACACGGTTGGTGGCGCCTGAACAAAGGTCATCTGCTTCAGCTGTTCACACTACATACACTGCTACATGCAGCTACATGCTAATGTCAGGGAAATGTCATCTTAGCTGCCGATGTTGTTAATTTCTCCCAGATTTCAGATAATATTCCCGCTGGAAAATGTCCGTGTGCAAAGATTCAAGTTCAGAAGCTTTGATTGGAGACTTTTAACAGTAGAAAGTGAAGTTATTCTCAGTTAGTTATTCCCTGGCTGAAATGACACTGCAGAGATATAGAAGCTCCAGAAATGCTGACCAATCAGAGCAGACTGGGCTTGTTTCAGGAGGCAGGAGACCTGGAGACAGCGTTTGAGGCGGGGCTCTATGGACATGGCGTCATGTGATGGACACGGCATCACGTATCAGAGCAGGAAGTCTGAGTTACAGTTTGGCCACTATTTCAAGTTGGCTTCAAAGCCCGGCGCTGTCACTGGGGGGCGTGGCTTCAGACAGAAGGTAAATCAAGGTGTTCATCAGAGACAGGATGAAGAACATAAAGTGTTTTACTGTAAACATGTTCTGGTAAAAACCAAAACTGCACGTATGAACCTGAACATGAGCAGAATACATCCCCTTTAATTTCATCACTAGCTGCAGCTGTAAACGATAATACAGTTAGTCTTCTTTGGGTAGCTGCACATCATCATCATCATCATCATCCTCATCCTCATCATCCTCATCCTCATCATCCTCATATTAAAGTGTCCAGTGGGAAATTTGGAGCAAATCTCATCAGTTTGTCAACAGGCGACGAGAAAAAAACTGTTGTTTAAAATAAGGTGAGACGCGTGTGTGTGTGTGTGTGTGTGTGTGTGTTTGTGTGTGTGTGTGTGTGTGTGCGTGCGTGAGACATTTACATGTAAAAACAAAATGGATATTTACAGAAAAACACCATCAGCTGTGTTTGAACGATCAGCTGTTACAGATCTTTACACGTAAGGCTCAAAGCTTCACTTCTCTGTACACACACAAACACTGCGCACACACACACACACACACACACACACCAGTACAGAGGTCTCGGATCACTAAAGCACACGGAGGGATGGTTTCTTCTTCTTCATCAGTATAATACACCTACAGCTCCTAATTAAAACATGTTTTATATTACAGACATTTTACATTATTTTACATGCAGAGTCTCTGAAATTAAACACTTTAAAGGTTTAAGTCTAAATAATAAAAAACTACTCAAAGGTACCCAACCATTAATTTAGTAAATACATAAAAACACATTAAAAAAAAATCAGATCCCCAAAAATAAAAGTTTTAAAGAAAAGGAAAAACATTTGCAACATAAACACAGAAAAACTCTGTTTTTCTAAACTCTGATATATTTTTTATTTTTAATCGTTTGTTTAATAAATGTGTCTGATTTTGTTCTGGGTCGAGTTTCACTTCTTTTTTACTGATTCTCATTGTGCTCATCGATCAGGACGCGGGCTGCAACAGAGCCACATATTCATGGTGGAATAACTGTCTCAGAAAATTATTATCACTGTCGGCTACAGTGAGCTTCAAAGGAATAAACACAGAGGGGATTTTTTTTAGTTAAACAGAAGCTTTTTATTACTTTAATTAAAACTTGAAGCCTTTTTTTAATGAAAGTCTCCCTTTTAAAAAATAACTAAAATAAAAGGAGATTCTCTGTCTAGTTGTTATAAAGTAACGTAGATGTGTAACGCACACGGGGAGATAACAATGTTCACACCACAGTTAGACCTTGTTGCAACTCTGATCTGTCTCATCAAACCCTGGTTCCTCTGAACAACTAAAACACACAGACAGTAAAAAAGACTTTTAAACCTTAAATAAATAAAAATGTAAATGTTCTTTATCTCCTCATTAAAAAGTTTAATTTCTGTTTTCCCTTTGAGTTTCACCTGAGCTGAATGTTCCAGCGTTGTCATGACAACGACCACAGAGAGACACGCGTTTGTCTCTACGTGAAATTGCATGGCTGATGGTGTGTAGTCAACCGACGAAACAAATGTTGGAATCGTTTTCCTGAACGTTTCATTCAGTATCTGAGGCGGGGGTCGACAGCCTGCAGCTACGGGGCCACATGTGGCTCTGTAACTCTTCTCCAGTGGCTCCCTGCGACTGGCAAAAAATTATACAGAAATTAAAATTGGCTGTTTTTTAAAATTTTCAGTTTTCATGGTTGTTGGCCTTGTGTCATTCTTACACCCTCAATTGTAAAGATGCGTAGCCTGCACACAGGATTATTCAGACGTGATCGTGCGTCATGTGGCTCGTCGCCTTTTGCTTTTTGTTTAGTTGAACTTCAGTAGCGAAGTCTTCTCTTGGATCTGCTGAGCAGAGCCAGCTGAGGATTCTAGATCAACAATAAAGAGTTTAACAGCGCGTGGACACATTTGTTTGTCGCCCCCTTGTGGTTAAACGTATTAGTAAATGCTCATTTAGACCTGTTGGTGATGTTGACGGGTGAATTTAGACTTCCTGTTATCTTCATTATGAGGATCACTCATGTTCTGCAGCTCCAGGCAGATTCTTTCAGAGCTGATTTGGCCAGTGAGTAAAGGTTACTGACCCCTGATCTCAGGGTTCTTCATGAGATGTAGGTTTTCCTTTGGTAAATGTTATTTACTCTCGTCTCTCTAAGCTCCACTGTGAGCACTGCGCTCTGACACATGTGAACCTACAGTCAGGATCTGATGAGCACAACCAAAAAGCACAATTCTCAAAGAATCCAAGTTTCTTATTTCATTTGAATGACTGATTTTTGGATTTCAGAAGTTTCTGTAACAAGGTCAGAACATTTGTCGTAACTCGACCCTTCTTTGTTCTGCGTTTGGTTAAAATAATCTCTTATCGTTTGAAGTTACAGTCAGTTCGATGACGGTGTGTGTGGTGTGTTGTCTCTGCGGATGTAGTGCGCTGTTTAACTGAATAAGGCAAAAAATCAAAGTGCAGTAAAAAATATTGACGTGTTTTTCTCTAAATGAGGTGGAGGGCGGTCAAACTCTAAAAGCTGTGAATGAGAAGCTGTTTAAGTAACAAGTCCACACTGTGTCGGCGACAGCGTCTAATCTGGACGCTAACACAGTTTGGAACGACCGAATGGAGCCAGCTGTGAGGTAGTTTGATTAAACATCAGTAAAATAAAATTACCTCTAAAATCTCTCAGATCTTGTGCAGGCAGCTGCTGCCTGAAGGAATGATTTAGTCTTCATCAGATTCATATAGATTATTATCAGATTGCACTAAAGGTGTGGACTTGATGAGCTGCGAGTGACCGGCTGCAGTCGTGTGTGTGTCACTTGCACCTGGTGACACGACACGAGCACCACGGATCCTCTCAGCTCCATCCTGCTCCTACATGTGACAGACTAATGATAAAACAGCCGCTGTGTCAACAGCAGCACAGAGAACAAATAAACATGTGCCCTAACATGGTTCCTACATGTCCTGGGTGTGTCACATCCACCTGCTCTTCATCACTGGACCAGGTAGGTGGACACGTCCCCCTCATGCTTCATGTTCCGGGTGATGATCTGCTCGATGGCAATGTAAGTTCCGGTGACGAACCCGACCAGCCCGAACACGCTGATGACGATGTTTTTGAGGATGACCAGTGGCGACAGGCCCTCCGTGTAGAAGGTTAGAATCTGGAGGATGGGAGGGAAGATGAGCGCCAGGAAGCTGCTGCTGATGGAGCCCACCAACGAGATGACGAGGTCCAGCTCCGGGATCAGGATGGCGAGAGCACCTGGAGGAGGACGAGGAGCAGAGAGAGACGGTCGAGTTGGTTAACAGACTTCATGACTTTTTTCTTGTCTCAGCTGTTAAACTCTTTAGACGTGTCCACAGTCGGACACACTGAGGAGACACAATCAGAATCACCACCTCAAGGCCGCATGTCTCCATCGTGTCTGTCCAGACTCACATGGAGACATGACAGGAGACAAAGCTTCAGATATGGTGCTGCTGTAAAGAAGCTTGTTAGAGAGACCACGCCAGGCGGCAGCAGCACAGACGGCCTGGTGACTGCACACACACTGAGATCTGACCAGAAACACAGACTGACGGACACTGGCTCACTGCTCCACTACATTAGCAGGTATCCCCCAACATGTTATGTCATTACCATCAAGAATATAAACATGGAATATAATTAACACATCATATTTACCATGACCCACCTGATGATACTTAAACATAAACAGCATAATTACAAATACTATACATGTACACCAACACCCTGACCAGATGTCTGCTCCTGAGATATGATGTCACAGTCAAGCTGACCTTTGACCTTTTCACCTTCATTATTTTATCCTGTTAGACATTTGTGTCAAGTCTTGTGAGGTCACATTGACCACCAAAATCTAATAAGTTTATCCTTCAGTCCAAGCGGATGTTTGTGCCAACTTTTAAGTCATTCCCGTACGGTGTTCTACAGATATCGTGTCCATGAGAATGAGACAGATGCGACGTTATATTGACCTTGACCTCTGACTGCCAAATCAGTTCATCAGTTCGAATCAGTTCATTGCTGAGTCAAAGTTAACGTTCGTGCCAAATTTAAAGACATTTCATCGAGGCCTTCTTGAGATCTCTCGTTTACAAGAACTGGACGGACAGACGACCCAAAAACATAATGTCTCTGTCATGACCTTGAGACCTGTGTCCCGTGACCTTGAGAGTCGTAAACAAAAGTTCAAAGAACATCTGACTTTGTGGTGAAACTTATCAAGACCGTGACCTTTGACCTCTGGCAAGGAGCGTCTTCTTGTGTGATTCTATCTGTGTTCTTCTTATAGAAGACTGATGATGATGATGATGATGATGATGGTGATGATGATGATGAACAGAGAAGCTGGAGGAGGAAGTCACTCTGCTGACACGGTGGGAAAATCAGAACTACAGTAGAGAACAGAAGGTTCAGGAGACGAGAGTGAAAGAAGGGATGGATAAGGAGTAAAGGGAGGATGATGGAGAATGAAGGCAGGATGAAGGAGGACTAAGGTGGAGAAGCAGAGGAGACTCACGAGGTCAGAAAAAGATGACGCGATGTGAAGATGACAGATGGAGAAGGAGAGGGCAGAGACGGCCGCTGCGAGAAAATAAAGCTGTGATTGTGAGGATTGTTTTCCACGAGTTGGCGGCAGCGGTCACCGGGGGCCAGAGTCATCTGTTGCCATGGAGACAGGCATAAACAGCAACAGGACAAAACAAGTGCCTGCTCAGACGCCACGCTGCATTGTCACAACCGACACTGACACACTCCACAGTCAAACCTTGAAATGTCTGCACACGGAGAATCGTTACAAGCATGGACACACCTTCAGAGCTGCGCTCGCTTTGTTACACACACACACACACACACACACACACACGCACACACACGGTTCATCTGTCGCCGTGTACGCTGGCGTCTCCTCACAGCGAGCGGAGAGGATGAGTCGGGTGTTCTTGTCCGACACTCATTACCAGCGCTGGATAAAAGACTCTTTGAACCATAATCAATTGCTCGCTGCTGCGTGTTCACAAAGTCTGTCAAATTAACGTACGGGGCGACGCCAAGGTCGAGCTTTCATGTGACAAGTATGCTGGAAGCTCCTCGCCGCCACATGCTCCTGGGAGTAAACCTGTCACTTCCAGGGAAAGGCCCTCGCCGGTGAAGGGTGCTCTTCAAACTACATTTGAAGCTTTCCTGGCCATCAAACAAGGCGGGCTCTGCGGCGAAGGAGGACGGTGAGGGGGGAGTTGGGCATACCTCGAGATCGCACTGAGCCTTCACAGCAAATGATCCACGAGGCCGCAGCTGAAAGCCGGGCTGCTGTGTCCCAAGAGACGCAGAGCGAGGATCATCAGGCAGATTCAAAGGGCTGAAGGAGGGACGCTGCGAGCACACTAATGCCGCTGTGCAAACCGCCATCTTACACAAACAGAGAGAAGATACTTTCTTCCTGTCGGCCTGCTGGGGCTCAGCTCTGCTGCTCAGTGAGGTGTCTTCAGAGGAGACAATGAGACGCTGCTTTCATGATGTTGGTAAAGTCAGTGTTGATGCAGGCAAGGTGAACGGACGACCTCATCAAGAATTCATCTGTGAGGGTGGACGACCGCAGAGTCTAAAGTCTGTGTGACGACGGCGCTGCCAGGAAGAGGAAATAAATACTCATCTGCAGAGGGTTTATCTTAATATTAGTTTAATAACTCCACACAGAGGGAAACATGTCTTCAACACCTCAACGTGTTCTTCTTTAAACAGATTTCTAATGCAGCTGTTCATGGAAAATTTAGACCAGATATTATCATTAACTCCAGTGTCTCTGACAGTCTCCATCCATGTCAGTGAAAACATGGATGCTTCACACACAGAAGATCTATACAATCAGCACAGTTTCAAGATTAGAGTCACCAATTCAGTATCTGACCAAATGTCTCCCCTTCTGTTCCTGAGATATGACGTTAAAACATGATGATGTCACAGTCAAGCTGACCTTTGACCTTTTGGATACTCACTTCTGTTCCTGAGCTGTGATGCTGAGTAACCGACAGGAAAGTGTTTATAAGTACTTATATAGTGTGACAAACGTGTGTGTGAGGTTCTGTAATCATTAGTGAATGAATTCTTGAGTTACTGCAAAAACACATTTTGTGACATCACACTGACCTTTGACCTCCAAATTCAAGTCAGTTCATTGTTCAGTCAAAGTGGACATTTGTGTCAAATTTGAAAAAATTCCCTCAAGGTGCTTTTGAGATGTTACATTCACAAGAATAAGACAGACAAGGTCTCAGTAACCAAAATCTCACCAGTTCATCCGCGACTCAAGGCGGACATTTGTGCCAAAATTAAAGAAATTCCTTCAAAGTGTTTTTGAAATACTGCACTCATGAAAATGTGACAGACAGAGTTGCAGTGACCTTGACCTTTGACCATCAAACCCAATCAGTTATCGCTGATTCAGGGTGGTCATTTGTGGCAAATGGGAAAAAGAAATTCCCTCAAAGAGTTCTTGAGGTAGCGTGTTAATGAGAGTGAGACGGATACAAGGTCACACTGACCTTAATCTTGAACCATCAAAATGATATCAGTTCATTGCTACGTCCAGATGGATGTTTGTGCCAAACTTTTTTTAAGATATTGTCTTCATGAGACGAACGAGGTCACAGTGACCTTTGACCTCTGACCATTGAAATCTTGTCAGTCCATCAGTGAGTCCAAATGAACTTTAGCACCAAATTAAGGAAATTCCAACAAGCTGTTCTTGAGACATCACATTCACAAGCATGAGGTGGACGGACATGGATATCGCCGGTGTGGAGACATAAAAGTCTGTCACAGTTTCTTCCTCAAATGTCTCGTTCTGACCGATGATAAAAACCTCGATACAGAATGAAGAAGAGCAGCACGTCCTCACATCAGAGCAGCTGTAACTGCTGCGAGTGTCGAACTGACTGAGATGATGAATTCATTATCGTCTCTTAATCAAGAACTTCACTGTATAAATCACTCTGCTGGCTTTAAACCAGCTCCTCTACTCAGATCTATATTTCCTGTAGTTCTTCTCAGGCCATATCGTCGACCTCACACTGACCCTGAAACAGTCGCAGCTGCATCATTCTCGTCTCGTCTGGTCTTGAAGAAAGAAAGAAGTTCAGAGCATCTGAAACATCAGAGCTCAGTGTAAAGAGATTCATCCTAAGCTGCGTCTGCTGGTTTGGAAAAGAGTTTGTCTGAGCAGAGGAGCTGATTGCTGAGTCAGCACGGTGATGAAGCAGAGGGACAGGGAGACAGAGGTGAGCCAGGGGTGATGATGATGATGATGGAGAAATGGAGGAGGTGTTCAGACAGAACGACAGAGGAGGAGTGTTTGATGCTGAGTTAATGATCGTCAGGGGTCATGGCCGCTTAGTTATATGAGAGACTCTGCTGACAATGACTGCGTCAGAGAAACTGCAGATCAGCATGTTGAAGAGTTTCATGACTTCCTGTTTGGACCGTGATGGTTTATAGATCTGTCATTGACACGCTGGACCGACCATAAATTCATCATCAGGAGAGGATGGCGTCCATGAACCAAACACTGAGCCGGGCTCAGAGAGGGTCGCCAAGAACGTCGGTTCGCCATCACACGATTCAAACAGGACGGAATAATGACGTCCACTAAACTGCAGAAACTGACCTGAGGCAAAGTCACTCTGCTCCATACTGAGGAGGAACCGGTCCGGTGTGTGTGTGTGTGTGTGTGTGTGTGTGTGTGTGTTCAGTCAGAGCATCATCAGGTCGCCTTCTTCAAACAACAGCAGCTGAAAATGTCCGCTAACAGTGAAACAGGAGCTCTTTACCCTCCGAGCAGAGGACGAGATCAGCAGCCGTATAACAGGGACGCTAAATGATTGTTATTGACATGTGATGTCATTGTTATTGTTTATAAAGAGCTGCTGACACGTATGTTTTATGTCACACTAGAGGCCGACGCTGTTGTGTTACAGGTCACGCCTCTTTGGATTCTGTGATGTCATCATGCTGTCTGACATCACACACTGGAGCAAAGGAACGAAAGAAGGGACGCTGTAGCAGCTCTGTGGCGCCACCTTTTTTTCACTTGCAGTTTTTCCTCTGTGAGTTAACTGCTAACTGCTGCTAGCTGCATTTTAAAGCTCCTGGAAGTGCATTTTGGAGCTGTTACTTCCTCCACTGCCGGCTTAGAGACGAGACAGCTCTGAGCCTTATCAAATTTATTACACAGAACAGCA